CTGGTTTTCTATCCACCTTGAAGTCCATCTCTCCAATCCGTAGTTCCTTAGCTTGCTTGCAAATATGTTGTGGAAGACTGTATCAGAAGGCTTGCTGAAGTAAGGGTATATCATGTCAGTTGCTCTTCCTGCATCCACAGAGCCAGTCATCTTATCATAGAAGGCAGCCAGGTTGGTCAGGCATGACTTGCCCCTGGTGAATCCAGGCTGACTGTTCCTAAACACCTTCTTCTCCTTTAAGTGCTTAGAGATGGGTTCCCTGAGAACCTACTCCATGATTTTTCCAGGGACTGAGGTGAGGCATGCTCAGATTTGAAACAATATGTTGCACATATCATCCACTTCATCTCCACCCACAACAGCTTCGCTTTCAAAAATTGACACTTCTTCTAAGCCATTCTAAACTATGGGCACAGCTATGGGCTCAAAGATGGCTCCTCAATGTGCCAACCTCTTCATGGAGGAAGAATTTCTAGGAAACTGCACCACCAACCTTGCCCCATACCTGTGTTACAGAGATGATATTTTCATCATCTGAACTAAATGCTTGGATTCACTTACTGACTTCCACCACAGGTTTAACAACTATCACCCCTCAATCAAATTCTCTCTGGAATGCTCCTACACTAATATTGACTTTCTAGATACCACAATCCACATCTGGGATGGCACCTACAAACTACTCCTTATATATAAAAAAACCCAAGGACCACCATTCCTATGCCTACAAGACCAACAGTCATCCCAGGCACACCAAAAAGGCTGTAATCTACAGTCAGACCCTCAGGTACCACCACAAATGCCCTGAGGGGAACACTTGTGATGTTCACCTGCAGTCTAAAATCTTCCTTTATAAAACAAGGACACTCCAGCACAGAAATAAACTATACAACTGAAAGAGCTAGCCAAATACCTCACTTGAACCCAAAGCAAACCCTCCTGTGATTGCACACCTCTGGTGGTCACCTACCACCTCACACAAGAACCAATTAAACAACTACAGCCTATATTCGACACAAATCACACCTTTAGATAAATATTTCCCTCCCCTCCTAGCTTTCAAACAACCCCCTAACCTTACCCAGCTCATCATCAGAAGCAAACTCCGCACTGCTCAACAGACACCAAGTGGGGCACAGCATTGCTCTATCAAGAAATGTTTAACTTGTCAATACATCTCCACTGCTACAATAATCAACACCCCACATAATGAAACCATCAGAATCCATGGATCCTACACATGCCTTTTCCAAAATGTGATGTATCTGATCCAATACACCACATGCCCTTGTGGCAACTATATGGATGAAACTAAACAGGAACTATGCACCAGAATGAGCTTTCACACCAAAAAATCTAATGGGCAGACACACACACACACCATTAGGAGTACATTTTTTCACACAACAGACACTCTTTCTCTGACCTTACTTTTCTCATGCTCAAGGGAAATCTACCTAATACCTTTAAAATGGGAAGTGAGGAACAAAAATTTGTAAGCTGGATAAACACTACAGTCCAAGGATTTAACACTGATATTGGCTTTAAGTCACATTATATCCACCTGATTCCTAAATTCTTCCCACACAAGAAAAGTGATAATGACCATCATTCCTTTTGACAGACCTTGATATCCCAGTATTCAGCTTCATTTCTTCTGCTAATTGTTTGTTTGCTGCTCCTGGGAATTTATTTTCCCCTTCTTCCAAATGTTTTTATTTTTGCTGTACTAACTTGTCTCCTCAGACCTGAAGAAGAATGACTTGATACTCAAAAGCTTGCCTAACTCTATCCCAACCACATAGTTGGGCCAATAAAAGTTATCACCCTAAGAAATCATTGCCTCTTGTTATATTTTAACATTTAAAAATGAAATGTCAAACTATTATGAATTTTTCCCTTGTTGAAATTATTTACCAAACTTAGTCTGAATTCAGAATACTTTCAATCCAAAGGTGCAATTTTCAGTAAAAAAAACCCCTACTTGACTGAAAATTTTCATTTGGCTTTGGAGAGTTCACCTCTTTCTAGCAAACAGAGAAAAATCACCGCAATACATCAATTAATGGGAAGACAGTAGATGAGAAGAGAATGTGGGCCTCCACACCTTTTAACCAAGTACTTTGTTGCAACAGAAATCACCACATCAAGCCTTAGCCAACATGTCTCTCAATTCTGACCCTGTTGCTCCCACATTAATTGGCTTACTTTTAATATAAATAGATAACCAAGATACATTTTGGAGCCAATAGTTATCTTGGCCATAGTTGTGGCATTTCTGTCAGCTGTGTAGCTCTTAAGGCTTTGAACTCAGAGATTTTTAAATCAAACAACTTTAATATTAGCTGGGAAAAAAACCTATCGTTCTTTCCTGTGGTTTTCAGAAGCCAGTAAAAACATACCTTGCAGTAAATGCAGCCACAAGCTTAGTAAAGTCATAGTAAACAGATGCAAAGTAAGAGTAAAACTTTTAACTTTGTCTGAAAGTCAGACTACTGGGATTCTACATCCAATTTTGTGGCCTTCATTCTTATTTACGCTATGAGCCCTTTTAACTGCTTTGGCATCACAGAGGGGTTTCAAAGTATCAGTAAATCACATTTATACTCACTGGGTGCATCTACACAAGACATTTACTGCAGAGTTGACTAATTATTTCCACAGTAAAGGTCTCGTATCTACATGTGTAGCCCTATTGGGCCACAGGAAACTAATTAACTCTGCAGCAGGGTAGAACTTGTAAATACAAGTACTAAAAGGGTAGGACAAGTACTACGCTGCTGCAGAGTTTTTTCATACACAGCAACACACATGTAGATGCTGACCTGGCTGGCTGGGGCACAAGGGTGCTTCAGTCTGGGGCTAGGTGGCAGGCAGCTCCCACACCAAAGCACACTTGTGCCCCAGTCAGCCTCTCCGCAACATGCTGAGCCAGGTCAGAACAGCCGTGGGCTGGCAGGCTGACTTAGTGGGGTCCTCTGCCAGATGGGGCTACTCCAACCTGGCTCAACATGCTGCAGTCCCAGGTGCATGTTTAAACAGTGGGCCTGGGAGCAATAAACTCCAGTGCAACATGTGCCAGAGTTTACTGCTGTGTGCTAATAGCACATGTAGATGCACCCACTTTAAAGCCTCCTTTATACTGCCACACTGGAGGAAAAGGTCCCCAGTATTAAAGAGAAGTTAAGGCTCATAAGTTGAGGAAAATAATGTAATTACTCAGTGCCTCAGGTTTCCTGTGAGTTACATGTAACAATAATTATTATCCATTTTTTCTAACAGCAAGCCTAACACCACTGCTGAGAGTAAAGCACAAATTGCATCTAAATTAGAAGAACTAGAATAGATTTGGACAAACTGAAGGAAGTGCAAGCAGCTGCATGAGAAAGACCATTGGAAAAGGAACATGGATGGGAAAAGTCAGTAAGGAAAGATACAGGTTTTATAACTTGCCTATGCTTACACTGCATGAGGAAAAGAAGGTAAAGGGGGAAAGAAGGCATTCAGGGACCAAAGAAAATGAGAACACAAATACACCATGAGGGAAGTTTCAAATGAGTTAACAGTAAGTGGATAATATGATTCTACTTTTGACAATCCAGGCAGTGGGGGATTGGAATATTAGGGAACAGAGGTGGGATCAGAGGAGGAAGGCCAAAGAAGCTGAAGAATCATTTTTTTCTCTCCAATACCTATGTTCTTGTTGATAACTGTAAGCTGCCCACACAAAGTGACAAATCACTGCTGCCGTGATGAATATCGTATTCAGAGTTCTACCACCTACCTTCATGCATCTGTTGTTTTATTTAAATCAAGAACAAAGAAATCCTAGAATCTTAGCTTCAATTGAAACTGCAAGGTTCCTGTGGATCACCAATAGCTACTGAGCCACCAATGCCTGGATTTGGCTGTCCTTAGCATTCAAAGAAATGCAAGGGGATTGCTGTGGCCAAGCTTTCACGTTTATCTGTCTTGCATAATATAAAAAGGTAATTTAAACAAGGGAAGTGCTTTATTGGCTTCCTAAGAAACAATTCATCTGAAGAAATTCACTTTGTGGTCAGTGTACCAAATTCAGATAGCAAGGAAGTTGTAGCCTTGTGGTTTGGTACTCTTGAGAGACCTTGGTAAATGTAAATGAAGGTGCTTAAAAACAACCATTTTCTCTACAATATAATCTAGGCATGGATATCCATTGCTGAATTCATCCTTATATATCTCATGCTCAGGAAAAAAGCATAACAAGTACTTAACATGGTTTGTGGCCACATGGTAGTGCTAACTTAAAGTATGGTCCAGCTATTACTTATTGTATTATCAGTTCACAACATACTTCTATCTGCTGTGGTTTTCTTTTGCCACCACTTCTGACTCTACTAACCTTCCCCCTCCCCTACCTCTCTCCTGCATGCCAAATTCCACTCTTTTTCCAGCTCCTCTTGCTATATATCGTCGATGCCAAGAAGGGATCACAGCTAGAAACTTCATATGCACTCTCAACTGCTGCTGGCTCTCCCCCCCGCCCCAGAGTAGGTAAAGGATTGAGATTCAGGGGTGATAACTGCAAGACAAGGGTGGTTCTTATTTGTTATTGAATGGTTTTATATAGATGTCATTGGTACCTTCCTTGGACATAGAGGTGATGTGTTTCAGGCACATCTACATTGCAGTCTGTTGAGAAGCTGGGTAAATTAGCCCAAGCAGAGCTTTTTATTGCTGTGTCTGAACCGCCTGCAGTAGTTGGGCTTGCTTAGGAACCCCCTCAGTATCCGTACACTACTCTGCAGACTGTAGTGTAGCCATACCCTTGAATGACCTTAGCTTTGAAGTTCCAAAATGTCCACAGGGGTGAGGGAGAAGGAAATTGGAAAGAGAAAATCTTCTAGAAGCAAGAAAAAGTTAACTTGAATTTATAGTCTTCTCACATTTTTTCCTGGTCATAATTGCCATTTTTAAGTCAAAGCTCAGTGAATTATAACCCCTTCCTCTAAAGGACTTACAACTTCTCTTTCTCTTGCTGTTCTTTGAAGATTTTATTTGTCTCTAACGCGACCCGCTTTTGATGCATTAACTCCTGACGCTCCAGTTCATGAAGGCGCTCCTCTCTCTGCCGCTCTTCTTCGGTCATGAAAAGCTCTTTTCCCTGCAATCAATCCATTAAAACAAAATCACAAAAATTATAGTGCTCTTAGCTCCCCTAACAAATCATTCTGAAGCTGCTGGGGCAGTTGTATACTTGTATAGCTTCCTCCCATTGTTTCTTCAGTCTAGGATCCATATTCTGTTTTTCAAAGGTGGGTAGGCTTCTTGAGGGCAAGTAGGTCAAGGGAGCCACTTGACCCTAGGACCTTAGGCTTTCCAGATCACACTGGAGTCTTTGAGACACAGGAAGAGGCCTTATTCTACTACAGCTTATTCCTCTGAAGCAGCACAGAACAGTAGGGCTGTGCGAAGTTTCAGGTGTTGATTCAATTAGGAGGAGATTCGGTCCAATTTGGCGGCCAAATCTTCAAATCCGAATTGGATCAGGAGACCAATAAAAAAGTCTGAATTGATTCGGAAAAGATTCAGAGATCTTCAGAGATTCGGGCAGTCCCTGCTCACCACCACAGGGAGCTGGACCTGGACTCCATGCTGGTAAGTAGGAGGTGGTTGGGGAGGGGGGAGAGGGGAAGGGATCATGGGGGGACCCCGCCAGGCCCCATCCCCTGCCTGCTCTCCCAGCCCCCCTGACCACTGCCCACTCTCCCAGAGACAGTAGGGGATGGGGGCTCATGGCAAAGCCCCCCACATAGCATGGGGTAGTGGGGGGTAGCAGGAATAGCCCCCCCAGCCTGGCAGGAGCCGGTGAGTTGGGGTTTTTTGTTTTTTTTAAAAAACCAGGAGGTGGGGCCAGGTGGGGCAGCCATGAGGGGTGGAGTGGGGCAGTGGAGTGCAGTGGAGATTGCGCCCCCGCCTGGCATGAGCCGGTAAGTGGGGGCTTTTGTTTTTTTTTTTAAACAGCTGGGATGCTGGGGCTAGGAGAGCGGATGGGGGCTCATGACACAGCCCCCACACAGCACGGAGCAGTGGGGATCGCCTCCCTGCCTGGCAGCAGCCAGTGAATGCTGGACTTCTTTTTTTTATAAAGAGCCAGGAGGTTGGGGCCCGGCGGGCCAGCCATTGACAGGGCTGGGAGAGCAGGTTGGGGTGGGGCCTGTTTGATTTGGATATTCGGCCAATTCGGCGGTGGCCGAATCTCCAAATCAGATTCAGTCAAATCAATTTGGGACAGCGGTTCGAATCACTGAATTGAATCACTACCCCTGAATTGGCTGAATCCGAATCTGAAGTGAATACTAGCTGCTTTGCGCAGGCCTACAAAACAGCTGTAAGTGAACTAGAAAATTCAGTCCATAGGAGTCTGAATCTTCTCTCCAGTGGACCAGTTCAATATGACTGATTTCACTGTAGATATTTCTGATTTATACCAATGAAAGAAGAATCAGAGTGACTGATAACAGTTGGCTGACATAGGTACAATTGACTGCAGAACTTGACCCAGTGTCTTGCCACTACCTCAATTCAGAGTTTTAGCTATTGTCTCTGCCTGCAAACCTAGATTAAGATTATAGATATGATTTGCAGACAGGAGTGCAGCTCCCAGTTGTAACCCAGAACAATTTCTGCAAAGTATCCTGAGTTACAACATTATCCCAGACCAAACAGAAGTTCACTGTTGGTTTCAGGGGGAAGGGAATCTAGCTTTAGGCTGGGAGCATGCAGCCAGGTTCTCATACCAATGGCCATGGCTCTGTACCAGTTCTGGCTGTTTTCAGAATGGGAGGGGGAAAGGCAACAGAGGGAGCTCATTCTTGGGGCTTCCCAGCTGGGGCTGAAGGGTGGGATGGGTGAATTGGACCTCGCCCCCCACCTTGGTTGTGGGCGGGGCTCCAATACAACCGCCCCACCATCCAGGGGGACTGAAAACTCCCGAGACTGAACTCCCTCTGCTCTTTCCTCCTTCCCATTCTGAAAACAGTGACAGGCTGGGAGGCAGTGCAGACACAACTTAGAGAAGATGTTACATTTTGAAACATCTTTAGCCAATACCTCATGCAATGAGGGATCAGATTTTCACCTGACTGGCCATTTTTTAAGCTGTCTGCAGCTGTGCACTTGTGTTTGGTCACAGCTAAGGGCTATTTTCTGTGTCCAGATCAGGTGAAAATTGTCACTTCTGTCTGTACCCTAAAGACCCACTGACTTCACAGAAAGACTCATTGTCTTCAATAGATTTTAGGTTAAAGACTCAACAAATGGAATATGAACTATCCTGAAACAAAGACTGCTTTACTAATTCTTACCTACAGGATCTGTTTAATACTTTTGGATAAACCTTCTGTTCTGATAGACTTATTACTTACAGCTCCTGCTACTACAGAGATAGTCAGTGTACGACTGCTTTTTAACACTCTCACAGCCTGCAAAAGAAAGTTAAAAAAAAATCAATTTGATATATAAAGATAACAGACACAGAATAAGTAGAAGGGTTTTTGTATTCATAGTTTCAAGTCCTAGAAGAGCCATTAGATCATTTAGTCTGACTTCTTGTATATCACAGACCAGGGTACTTCATCCAGTTATCCCTATACTGAGCCCAAAAGTTCTGTTTGACAGATATGAAGACATCAAGATAGCGGGAAGTGATGGATTCTCCCTTTTTTCCAATGGTTAATCACTATATTTCTGCCTTATTGCTAATTTGTATTTGTCTAGCTTTACCTTATAACTATTTGTTTTCGTTCAGACTTTCTCTCCTGAATTAGAGTCCTTTTGTACCCAGTACTTTCTTACTTTAGCCCTATTAATGTAATTATTACAATCAAGTCACATATCCATCTTCTTTTTGCTAAGCTAAACAGTTTCATCTCCTCTCTCTTTCTTGAAGAGTGAGTGGAAGGTGAGTGAGGCTTGGATTTTCAAAGAGATCTGGTTAGAGTCAATGGGAGTTCAGTGTCTACATCTTTTATGCAGCATTCATTCATACAGCCATCCCTTGCTAAATGGCATCTACAGGGCATGCACGCTTTGGGGGTTGGCAGTGTAAGGCAGAGTGTACGCTTTAATGTTAGAGACTTTCTATACACAAAATACATTTGAATTAAATTAAAACAAAATTATTTTCCCTACCTCTTTGTGATCCACTTTTGAAAAATCCACTCCATTTACTTCAACAATCTGATCACCAACCTAAAAGAAACAATTAAAAATAATGAATGACACTCACTTCATTCTTTTACTATTTGGCATGGTATTTTTGGCTTCTGAAAAAGTTCATAAGAAATAATTGCAAAACAAGATCTTCCTGCAAGATCTTATCTGGAGCAGAATATGCTCACCTCTAATCCCACTTCTGCAGAAAGAGATCCTGGCTTAACATTGCTAATAAAGATGCCTGGTTTTTGTGTTGGACCACTGGAAATGCTGAAATTAACAGAAAAAACAAGCAGCGTCATAAGATAACACAATACAAGGAAAATGCCATACTTGTTGGAGTGCTCTTCATCTCTAATTTAGGCAAACCCTCCTACTTGTTTCCTGTGTTACTTAATAATTGAGGAAAACATGATGGGAGAAGATCCACAGCGAAGTCAGTGAGGCTGTACCAATAATACCAGCCAAGGATTTGGCCCACTGGATTTAATGTCATCATCACTAAAATATAGAACGTACTCTGTTTAAGCACATAGCTTTTGAACTGAAAAAAAATGCTATATGCTTATGGTTTGGAGTGGTGTTGCAGCCATGGTGGCCCCGGAAATATATGAGGCAGGGATTTTTTTGTGATAACTTTTATTGGACCCACTCTATAGTTGAGAGAGGTGTTAGACAGTTACATTACAGCTAATTTACAGCTGGTCCAATACAAGATATCATAAAAAAAAGCCTTGCCACATGCTTATGGAGGGATTCACATATCCAGCTTTAATGTAAACAATGCTCATTAAGTACAGAATGCTTTAAGTGCTGTGGAACTGAATAGCTCCTCTCCTTTTCAAGGTCTGTTTTGCAGGATAAGGAGCCTTCACAATGATAACTACTTTAATAAAAAATTATTATTAATAAAAACATTTTGAACTAGATCCTTAGGAGATTGTACCTTCGCAGAAGTCAATGAAGCTACAATGATCTACAACAGCAAGGGAACTGGCTCTTGGATTACACTAAACTAAAAATGTAAACAGCATATTGATTATATGCTCATATTATATGCTTTTCATTCAATGCTCATGCTTTTACTAATCCATATATATGAAACACCAATATATATGTATCTATATACTAGTGGTGTTTCATTTAAATCATGGGAAAATGTGCATTTGGGGTTACTTTTTTTAATTGAAAATTAGGGATTTTTTTAAATCAGATAAAACCTAGATCCCTGGAGAGAGTTGCTTCAAACAGTGCCTGTACTAATCCGATCACAGGTTGTTACCTGCCTATCCAATGGCTGGTCTATACATAAAGATTCACTAAAAAAAATGACTTCAATTTAAATTCACTTTGTGGAGAAAATGAGGAGTTTCTGTATTATCATGTTACTTATTTTACCAACTGACCATTGTATTGTTTCATACCTGGTCTCAAGGACTTAATTTCTCTTTAGAGACACCCCTAAAGAGACAGGGTGTGCCGCCTGAAGGTCTGCCTCCAAATAGGATAGCTATTAAGGATTATCAGCAAATCAGTCGTCCTGGCTCTAGCAAGACCCAGCCACACTTGTAATACATTTTTTTATTATTTTGATGCTAAAAGCTCAACTGCAAGAATTCACCATGTAGGCATCTACACTGACATCTCACTTGTGTTTAAATAGCACAATGACAAAGATAGGGGAATAATTTAGTAACAAATATTATCTTGTATTAGGAAAATACATTTTCTGATAACACACAAATGTAAATATTAGTAATGACTGCCTTGGATTTCCTCACTCCAAATTTACTCACGCTTCCTGCAAAGCATATTAAGTCTACCTACCTGCATCCCATACCCTTCGTACCAATCAAACTAATGAAGACTTTCTTCTCTTTACTGTCTCTTCCTCCAGATGAAATGAGCCCTGCCATGCTGCCTTTTCCTTCCTGCATCAAAAGAAAAAAAGGTCATGAGTGAAATCTTTACTGTAGTTAAGCCACTGCTGACTGAAACAACACAGAATTACACTCCATGGCTAAGTATAGACAGTCAAAAAGACCGAGGCTGAATCTATTCAATCTCTGTAGGTTAGTCTAAACTGTCTACATTGAACCAATAAGCAAGTGAATAGACATTCACTTTTGATTCTGGAAATACAGCCACATGCCTGCAGTGGCCCAGGCTGGAAGCCAGGGGGTGCAAGAGCATGCCTCCCTGCTCTCCTGGAGCAGGCAGCTTGGGCCAAGGTGAGCCTGCCCTGTGAGGAGTGGTTTGCAGTGGAGGTGCAAAGCATCCTGGGATGCTGGGTGACTGTGCGTTAACTTGAATCTGGAGGGGCTCTGGGACAGAAGTTCAATAAACCAATTTAACCTAAATCAGTTAAGTCTGATAATGCATCCATCCAGGTTTATCTAAAACTAGTTTTGGCCATTTTTGAAGCAGTTAATGTCCACTGAACTTCAGTTGTTACAGATTTGAACCAGTTTCCAATCACTTATACTGGTTTATGTGTAATTTCTGTCCCTAGCTTATATGTTTAAAGGTGATGTCATCTGGTTCCAATATAAAAGTGGAACAAGTACAGCTAACTTCAGAACAGCTGAGCCAGAACTGAATTTAGCCCTTTATTATTGGAAGGATCATCAAAAGGATTGAGCCACATCTCATGAAAGAAGTGGAGAAGAGTTGAAGCAAGGACAGAAGAAAAACAAATCAGATATTGATCTCCTGACAAAAAAATTACTTAAAAGTATTTGGAAAATGCTTACCTTTTTTTTTAAAACCAATTCTTTCCTCTGTAATCCCAGCCTAATAGGGCTGCACATGTAGATGCAGGATGTTAACTTAGGAGCCAATTAGTCTACTCTGCAGTAAATGTCTTGTGTAGAAGTGCTCAGTAAGTATAAATGCTGCTTTGAAACCCCTCTGTGATGCTAGAGAGGTTAAAAGTCATTCACACTCACTTTTAAACTTTAACTGAACAGCCTGGCTACACCAAGTAACCTGTTAAAAAAGTTACTTTTAGCAATATAAAAGAGCTTGCTGAATTATCAAATCTAAGCAAAAGAACCAATTTTTATTTTCACGAGTAAAAGTCATTTACTTTCTATAACACATTTTTGTTTCTAAATAGTCTAGAGTTTTGTTTCTAAATATTCTAGAGGTAACTATTTCTTCTGGGTTACATACAGTCTTCATATATAAAGGGCTTAGTCTGTCCCTCTGTGTGTCTGCCTTAATGCTCTGGGAGCATTCTGATTGGTTGTCTTGGCAACCAATCGCTATGCTTACTGAAACAACCAATCAGAGTGCTCCACACAGACAGACACATGGCGGAGCTCCACCATGACTGTGGGGATAGAGAGGATGGAGTGGGCCTACTCCCTGGAGGCAGTGGCGGCGCAGGTGGTGGTGGCACAGCACTGGCCTTGTCCACCCCTCCATCCCTTCCATCATCTAGCAAACTGCCTGTCAAGAATGATGGTGGGGATGGAGTGCCACCATGATGGTAGGGACAGAGCGGGGGGGAGGGGAGTCCAGTGCCATGCCTCCACCACCCTGCACCGCCACCACCTCCAATGAGCAGGGCTGGGGGCAGGGAGGTCGAGGCCACCACTTAGAGGCAGCAGTGGCGTGGGGGTGCTGGCAAAGAGGGGGCGGAGGGGATGGTGGGGAAAGCTTCCCCGCCTGCTCCTGGGAGGCGGCAGTGCTGTGGGGTGCTAGGTGGCGGCACTCCATCCCGGCCTAACCCCCTCCCCCAGCATTCTTGGTGAGCAGTTTGCTAGTTCATACATATTGTACCGTACAAATAGAAGCAATCATTCCTATAAGCACAGGGGAAGATGTGATTTCAGTTTCTCTAAGCGTTTTCCTTGAAGGTTCATTACTAAAATATAAGGTGCCTCACCCCAGCATCTGACACAAACTGATCCACATATTGCCACTTAAGAGGTTCATCTGCAGAGCTGGAAGTAAAAATAAAATATTTATATTTAATAGGGAAAACATCTTTAAAATGCCTTGAGAATCTGATATTAAACCTGACCTCCAAATAACCTCCTATTTTAAACTTACATATAAATAATACTCATAAAAATTTATATTGTTTTAAAGTTAGGTACTAAGATATCCAAAATGATACCAGGCAAGCATGTAGTTAATTACAACAGTAAAGCTGGTCAGTCAAAAAAGGAACATAAACCATTTCTGGGAAAAGTTTTGCTTGTTTTTTGAAAAAAACTTTTGAAAGCCAAAAATCTTTATCAGTTCACACCCTTATACCTGTTTTACCCACCCAAGTATACAACAGGAAAATTCTCATGAAACATTTTAATTTTATTTCTATTGAGATTCAACATTTTGATAAAAATGAGCATAGATCAATAATCAAAATTTGAAAAATTTCAATAACTGCCCCCTCTGAAAAAATAGTAAAAGTTGATATCCCTGCAAAGGCAGTGGAACTCTTTGTTAAATGAATTTATTGATATCATTTATAAGAGTCCCAGATAAACTCCACAGATAATTCAGAAACACACCAGCTCACTTCAGACTGGAAATGAAAAGGTAGATATCAATTTAGTCATCTGTAAAGTAGATGTTTATAAACTTTCCAAGTGTATTAATGGAGGTTGCTAGAGAATTATTTAGAGATTGTAGAGGGTACCTGGAAACATACAATTTAATTTGTACGGATATGAATTTAGAAGACAGACTGCCTGTGTTTACCTTTTGACAGGTATCATGCCGACATCTGCAAAAATAAAAAATGTAAGTCAGATACCACTTTCCACAGACCATCAATTAGCTACGTGGCACTTTGCTATGGTTTTTACACTGACAGTACATGCATTTTGTGTTACTTACGTCTTACTTTTATGGACACAATTTTCTTTGTGCGGATAAGATTTATTACTTCCTCATGAGTGCATGAAGAGATGGAGTACCCATTTATCCGAACTATCTCATCTCCAACCTTAGACAAAAGAGGTATAAGGAAAAATTATTATACACAGTGTTTTAAAAGCAATCGATTAAAAAAAGCTAAGCACCACTGTTACCTGGCAAGCCTTTTGTGCATGGGTTGTATAAAGGGAAAAGAAAACAGTTTTGAATGGTTTACAGAACATCTTAAATACTTCTAGGACCTTGACAAAGTCTACAGTGAGATTTATTTATTGACTTGAATGGTATATAACATTCAGACAACAACGCTAACCATTCTAAAATATTAGCTAATGGAGGAGGTGCAGATATAGCTGTATGGATCAGACTTATTTTATTATATGGACCATATGTGGTAGAGGTGTCAGTGTTTGAACTCAGTTCATCAGGGTTTTTTGGAGTTTCATTTGTTTGTTTTTTGTTTTGTTTTTTAAATCAGCCCAGGGTTAAATTCATTTTCACCACATTTTCATGAAGCTGATTACAAATACCTTCTTTGCTATTTTAATGGGTGGGAAACCAAACTTGATCAGACAAGTTTGCTAGATTACAGATAGAAGGACAATAGATTCTTTCAAAGGACTCTAGCCCAGTTTTGAATATAATACTCTTTTATCAATTACGATTGTTAGACAGTGTTTATTTGCATAATAAGCCTAGTTCACTGCTACTGTAAACACTCTTGATTTCCCAGGCCATCTATATTACTTAAGATAACTGCACACTGAAAAGCTGCCAGTCAAACACACACATGAAACCATGCCACAATCACAACACACTTCTCCTTCCACAGTTTCAGTTTCATAGTTTCTAGGGTCGGAAGGGACCTGAGCAGATC